CAATTTTTTTTTTTTTCTTTTTTGATGGATAAACTATCATTCAAATTAACTAACATCAAACAAAATTGCATCTAAAACTGCTTAGAAGTCAAGTCGGAATAAACGACCAGACTTCCCTATTAGAATTAGAGTTTTGAAATATTGGGCTATTCTATGTGTGGCAAGTCTATACCATATTTTCATGTGAAGACTGCAACTTACATTCCAGATCGTGGAGCCAAAATATTTCCACGTAGGGTGTTCAACAAAGTATTTTTGTATGTCATGTACTTGCGATGATAGCAAGTATGTTAGATTTGGCATTAATTTGGGTAGTTTATTCCTATTCAAGTATCTTCATAGAAAGGTGTGTGTTTCTTGTATTATATAGTAGTTTTTGCTTTCTACGTTACGATACTATTCTGTATAAAGCATATATTAATTTGAAGAATGGCATGATAGAATTGCTGTTCAAACTGTCAATATCATTCATTCATCAGTTCAATTTAGTCGATTTGAATACATTTCCCTCAAAAACCCCGAAAAGATGAATGGATTGAACTAAGCTCTACTATAAAACCAAATACATTCCTTCTCATCATTTCATGAGGATCATCTAGAAAACCAAAAGCAAATGTTAAAACCAAAACTAAATTAGGCTTGTACTATAGCTTTTCGGCCACATTTGTGTATTTGAAGTAGAAACCTCTAGATGCCGAAGACTGCATTGACATCACACCCAACACAACAAGTACCTTGAGCAATTACAAAATAAAAGTGAAAACTTATTAGACCAAAGTTTTCAAAATTTTCATTTGCAAGCTGATTTGATCTATAACAATAGCACTTGAATTTAATTCAACGGATTAAATGCTCCATGCTTCTTTCATTAGTACTGCTAAATAAAAAGAAACACAAAGAGCAATCTCTAAAATCATTTGCAATGATCAATGAAGCAATATGTAAAAAGAAACACAAAGATATGCTAGAACAGACTTATTTAAGACTTGGTTGCATAGGCACTTTTTCATACTGGCAACAATGATCAATGAAGCTATTAAATAGAATACTATAACATCGTTTGCAATCAGTGATGTGCTCATGATTGATCTCCTTTAGGTTTTATTTCTTTCTAGGGTTAGACTAATCTCAAGGGGTAGACTCGATGTATAGATCATTGGCTTTCATTTGGTTCTAACAAACTTCCTGTGGATAATCTGAATTGCAAATTTGTTACCTAACAGTATTAGTATTATCTGCACTCACTACTTGGAGGACACGTCTATCACCACCCAATTATACTTGTATATGTTGCCAATTGAAGATGGCTAATTATCTACAATTTTCATTTTAGAGACTAATGATTAACACAATCATATGGGGTTGTCAAACAGAAGAAGAGATTGGATTTCACATTAAACTAATAATCCATGGAGGAGGAGATGAATAAATCAATATTGTACTTTCAATTGTGTGGATATATTCAGCCTGATTTCGTGAGGGACACTTCTATAGGTTAGGTTTAGACTGTCCAATGGATAATGAAGGGCAACATCGGAGACTTTATTTAAGTCCATATGATAATATTACGAGACCACTGTCTCATCAGTTAGGCTTGTTCCAATAATTTTAACACCATACGTTTCCACTTTCAAGTCATGAAAAAGTAGATATTATATTAGAGATTGGACTTATTAATGCTTGGTAATTTTAGTAAATTACTCACTCAAACACTGATTTAACATTTGTTTAGCTTCACTTAGAAACAATGGAATCTAGAGATCATAAGACTCTTGTTAGCTGAAAAAACAGTCTGTAAAAGTGAACCATCTACAAAAAAGAGAATTCAAAGATAACAATGAACCATTTCTACCAAGGTTCTAAGTATCCATACTGGTCGATACCTTGGTAGGGTGTACCGGCCAGTATCAACCCTTTTTTTTTTTTTAACTTTCCCTTATTTTTTTCGATTTTGGTTCAGACAGGCCGGTTTAACCAGGCCCTGACCCGATACAACCCCTGTAGGGGCGTATCGGGAAGGACCCGATACGATACATATCGACCGAAAGACAAACGAACAGTTAAGGGAAATGGTGGATTAAAATCTTTGGTGTTCCTCTTTCAGCTTGGTGCCCGTGCCCCACAATGTTCAAGGAGATCGGAGATGCCGTTGGAGGCTTCATCACTGTAGACTGGAGCAATGCGACGTGGAGAAACCTCAAAGCCCTCCGTCCGCTGGTCTGGAGCAGGGCAGTGAAAGATATTCCTATATCTTTAGAGCTGTTGCCTGTTGGTGGGGGGGCATTAGATACCTCCTGAGGATTGTAGTAGAAGATAATGAATCTCAGTTTCCGGGTTCCCAATCTAGTTATTCTCCGTCTATGTCCTCTGTGTCAGGTAAGACATTGGGTCGCGCTCCGAGAGTCCGAGGGATGGTGGCACTCTGTATTCTGGAGGTGGATTTTCCGTTCCTTGTGCCACCGGAAAGCGTCGTAGAAGAAAAAGGAAGAAAATCAAGGCGGAAGGTTTATTTGTTTGAAGGGTGATGCATTTCGGTTGTTCGGAAGGTGTGGTGGTGTATCTGTTACTTGACTTCAGTTTTGTTGGCCGGTAGGGGAATTGGCTGGCTTTTGCTTGTTTTCTGCCTATCGTCTACTTCTTTACACTTTTTATTTCTTACTCTACCCGGCCCCCCCCAAAAAAAAAGAAAGATAAAAAAACACTGCTAATTGTATACTTACGCTACCCGTCAATTTTGGACTAATTAAGGCGTAGACTAATTACTAACGAAATTCACATAAATTGACGAGTGGGAGGGTTTGCTTCTAGAATAGACGATGGATATGATATTGATTGCCAGTCAAAACTTGATGAGCCTGTCTTTTCAAAATTTGTTATGTAGCGAACGGGGGGGAGTGGCTTTTCCTAATTGAAAGGAGGGATAATTGGGGCTAATCTTTCAGGTCAAGCGGTTTCTATCAATTGATTCCTTGAATCACCCAAGGCAAGATCTATCTGCATTTCCATGATTTTGTCCTCTGACGAACAATTTCTGTGACTCTACCACTACTTGCATCTGAGTTGATCCAAACCACACCATTCATTTGTTGTCTATTTGTGAAAACAACTTATGAATAGTATATATGCATTTGTTCTGCGTGCATGCACCAAGGAACAGGAGAATGTTCTGGACTGAGGAAACTTCAAATTTGGTGGGCTAAATGATGCAACCATCTTGACTTTGTCATCTTATCAATCTCTTAAATGCGGTCCACTAAGGCTACGTGATTTTGATAGAGAATAAGAAATAAAAAAGAAAGTTGAGTAAAGTTGTTAAGGCTTACTTTGGAAGGATTATAAATGCAAATATGTGCAGTATAAAAACATTTAAAATAATACAAAATACAAGGTTTTGGACTCTATATATTTGTATTCGTACTCCTTCTCAACTGAGCCTAATGAATTTCACAAAGTATGATACGAACTTACAATCGACTTTCTATTCTTATTTCCTATCTAATTAAACATTGCTTAAACGAAGGGTGGGGGAATTTATGGATCTATTGTTTGCTGTATTAAATCTGAATTGGATTCAAATTTCGCACCTGATTCAGTTTTACATCCATTTATTTATAATTATATATATGATTTCCATGCTTGTCTTTCTTCTTGGTAGAAAAAAGAGATCTTATCTGATATTTGCACTCACTGGCACTNCAGCAGCCCAAGAAGTATCATACTTTGTCTTGTCACACCGGTTATTCCGAAATGTAACCATTAAACCAAGCAACGGGTATATAATTTAGCTTGTTTTTTTTTTTTTTTTTTTTTTTTCTTGTAAACAATCCGAAAATTAAACTTGGCATTTTCATTTGGTTCCACATTAATCAAGAGAGTGATCGTTGATGGGTATATTCTGTACATTATTTAGGCTCCATTTGAAAGGAGTATATGTAGAAGGTAAAACCTTATATTTTGTATTATTTAATATGAATTTGTATTGTATATATTTATATTTATACTCCTTCCAAATTAATATATAAGTTAAGCTTAGATTATCCAACGTTCTTTAGTTACGTATGTATAGTTCTATTTCCTCGACAATAAAACAGAACCCAAACCTGACCAACATTGTGAAAGAATCTTTTTTATTTTAGTATTTGGTGAGTGAAAGAATTGAAACATTTACACAGTTGAATGTAGTATTGAAATAAAATTACAAAGTTGGGTCAAGAACAAAGAACATTATAATTCACTAACTAAGAATAGTTTATAACAAGTGTTTTAGATGGCGAGGTCATGTATTATTATTCAATTATTTAAAATTAAAATATAATGAAAATAAATTAAATAATAAATAGTTTAAGTATCAATTCTAATGACTTGATCTGAAAGCCACATGCCACCTTTATTCCTTAAGACCGCCACCCAAATATTTTACGTTGATGGTGATTACAGGGTTTTTTTTTTTATTAACTTGTTTACTACAACTCTGGAACCCCATTAAGTCATTACTCCACCAGTCCACCAGGCCACCAGAAAATAAATAAATAATAAAGTAAAATTCTCCAACCGTCGGAATTATTTTGTCACAGCCAGTAATATGGTAATAATCAGTAGAGTAATTGGCTTTATTTCCACCAATAAATTCTTTTAGGTGAATTTCTTAAATTCTCATAGGGGTTCATGGTAAGCTTTAGGATGAATCACTACCGTTGAATAGAATTTAGATGGTGCATCGTGACTTAAATGATCATAAATTTAGAACCCAAAATAGTATATGATCAGGTAAGTCAAGATGGCTGTAATATTTCAAAGGTTCCGATTTATTGCTCTCCTAATTCCTATCTTCAAGCAATTTTGGTTTCTTTTTATTCAAATAAAATATAGTGGTTTTCTAAAAAAAAAACCTTCAATACGACAAATTGCCATCTATCTGTACGCCCAATATGATAACACGTGATAGAAATTTAGCATTTCACTTCTGGTCGGTGGTCCCCACAACCATAGAAAGCTTGCGGGAACAAGGTATCACTGCCGACACGGCGACACCAACGGCCCAAACGGGATTTTCTACTCACTTTTCCTACTCACGGCGACACCAACGGGATTTTCTACTCACTTCTCCGGTCTCAGATGCCAATACAATGGCGGGGTATTGGTATCAGCTTTCTTTTCAACGACGGACAAAATGCTTCCTATCCTAAGTAGACTGTCGCAGAATTCTTGGGCAAGAGAATAGAAAGCAACTGATAATAATTCCGCCGGTGAGGAGGAACGCCCCATCTCAGCAGTCTGTTCAATATGAAGTTCAGGCCGCTGTTTCTGTCTCTGCTCGTGCTCGTGTTCGTGTGGTCTGTGGCCTCACAAGAATCTGGTTTCACCTACAATGGTTTCCAAGGTGTAAGCTTGACCCTGGAAGGCATCTCGCAGATCACTCCCAATGGCCTCTTGATGCTGACCAACCAGAGTAGACAACAGCAAGGTCACGCCTTCTACCCGTTTCCACTCCAGTTCAAGAACCCCTCGGATGGTAATGTTGTCTCCTTCTCCACCACTTTCGTATTCGCAATCATCTCCCAGTATCCAGACTTAAGCGGCCATGGAATCGCTTTCGTGATCTCACCTTCAAGAGGTCTCCCAGGAGCTCTACCAAGTCAATATCTAGGCCTCTTCGGTGAGTCCACCGTTGGCAGATCAACTAACCACTGTTTCGCAGTTGAGCTCGATACGATCCAGAGCAAAGAGTTCTTTGACATCGATAACAACCATGTTGGAATCGATATTAACGACTTAAAGTCTTTTAGATCTGCTCCGGCCTCTTATTCCATGGATCACAGTGGTGGCCGCTGGCAGAACCTAAGCCTCATAAGTGGGAAACAGATGCAAGTTTGGGTTGAATATAATGGCCTAAACACGCAGATTAACGTAACATTAGCTCCGTTTAATGTACCTAAACCCGATATATCTCTCTTGTCTGTGTCTTACAACCTTTCTGAGATAATGCTAGACACCATGTACGTGGGGTTTTCCTCGTCGACGGGCTCTGTTCTCACATCCCATTACGTGTTGGGATGGAGCTTTGAGCTTAACGGGCCAGCAAAAGCTCTCACCCTTTCCCAACTTCCTAAGCTCCCTCGAGTCGGACCCAAGCAGCAATCCAAAATTTTGACCATTGGGTTGCCCATTATTGTCCCGGTTTCTGTGTCAATAGCAGTCTTGGGTATCATTTTCATCGTGAGGAGGAAGAGAAAATTTGCAGAATTAGTTGAAGATTGGGAACTCGACTATGGGCCTCACAGGTTCAAATTTAAGGATCTCTACATCGCCACCAATGGCTTTCGGGACACGGAGCTTCTCGGTATCGGTGGTTTCGGTAGAGTCTATAGAGGGATATTACCCAGCTCCAGAATTGAAGTCGCTGTGAAGAGAGTCTCCCATGATTCAAGACAAGGGATGAAAGAATTTGTAGCCGAGATCGTTAGCATCGGTCGTATGAGGCAACGGAACTTGGTACGACTTCTGGGCTATTGCAGGCGTAAAGGAGAGCTCCTACTGGTCTATGATTTCATGCCCAATGGAAGTTTAGACAAGTTCCTCTTTAACCAACCAATGTGTACATTGAATTGGAGCCAAAGATTTCGAATCATCAAAGGGGTAGCGTCGGGGCTATTGTACCTGCACGAAGAATGGGAGCAGACTGTGGTTCACAGAGACATCAAATCCAGTAATGTCCTACTAGACAGCGAGATGAATGGAAGATTGGGAGATTTCGGGTTGGCAAAACTGTATGATCATGGAACAGATCCTCAAACTACCCATGTGGTGGGAACGGTGGGTTATCTAGCACCAGAGCTCATTAGAACCAGAAAGGCGACACCGTGCTCAGACGTGTTTGCGTTCGGGGCCTTCATGCTCGAGGTGGCTTGTGGGAGAAGGCCAATAGAGCCACAGGGTTCAGCGGAGGACCTAATTTTGGTTGATTGGGTGTTTTCATGTTGGAGTAAAGGGGCAATTCTGGAGACTGTGGATCCAAATTTGGGGAGTACTACTGGTTATGTAGTTGAGGAAATGGACTTAGTTTTGAAGCTTGGCCTGCTATGTTCTCACACTCTTCCATCGGCTAGGCCAACCATGCGACAAGTAGTGCGGTTTTTGGCCGGAGATGCCCCTCTACCGGACCTATCATCACCGCTTGGCCTGGGTGTGAGCGGTCTGCTTGGTGAAGGCTTCGACGACTTCGCAACGTCGTATCCTTTTCCTTTGGATAAGACATTTACTCAGTCGTCGATTGCAGAGTCTCTCCTCTCTACAGGTCGTTGATTATGTAAAAATCTAGACAATTCTTAGTAAAGGAATCAGTGTAATTTACTATTTCATCAGTGTATATACCTCATCTCAAAAGAATCACATTTCACGAAACATTGTTGAGAGTTTAAGTTTCATGAATTGTGATTTGCTGATGTTCAAAACTTAAAAGCCCAAAATTTCTCCTTCTTCCTTTGACTCACCACGTGAAAAGATTATAAATATTCTCTTGGATTTATTTATAAATACCTTTAAGTAATTATGACCTTTAACCTCTATGAATAGGTGCAATAAATAATGGATTTTTAAGCACACCAAAGCTTTTTCTTGATAACAATGATGAATTCCAGCCCCCCCTACAACTAGCCCTCTCTCCCTATAAACCACATCCTGTCTGTGAATTTGGTATCAATTCACGTCAGGATGCATTTCCCTATACTTTGGGCCTAGTAAATTCTGAACTGGGTTGATTGCAGTACATCCCCGCCATGTGTTGGGAATATCTTTCAATGATGTATAAAAAATAATGATGTCATCATTGGGAGATGCTTCTCTCCTTTGTAGGGTGCAGATCTGAACTAGTTGAGATTCTTTCATCTTTTAGAAATAAACATCAAATTTTCTTATTTTTTCAACGAAAAAATACACAGATCCATTGCAAATTTCTGAATTTTACTGTAGATCTATAATTATTGAAAATGTCAAAAAGCCCCACTCTATACAGCAAAGCTCGCCTACTGACATCCACCCCAAATGTATTCTGACCCTAAGCTGATTCTCCTATCATTCATCTAAGGTCATTTCTGACAGCACGTGCTAATCTATGTTGAGCTTCTTCCTGCACAGGGTAGAGGGTGCATTGAATTTAATTCAAGAACCTTTGGAAAACACAAAAACATAGAAGACAAAGGGTTGGTGGCCCAGTCGGTAGGTTACCCTAGAACCAAACCCAATTTTCTGTGTAGTCTCGTGAAGCAAAAATAAATCAACTAAACAAAAAGCATTACATTAGCTGCTGAAAATGATAGGGTATACTAAAAGGGTGTTTGGTTCGGTTTATGTTTTCTGTGTAAATGTTTTGTACTTGTGTGGCTGTAAAACCGAAAAAAACAATTAATTATAGGATTTATGACACATAGGCATCATTAGGCACTACATCAGCAAAGTGCCAATAAACATTTACCAGTTTTAGATAGCTCTAAAATGAAGCTTATTGAAATGAGAGAGGAGCATAGGTATCAATGTTTGTTTATACGTATGGATGCAATATTATGAGGCCTTTGTCGATCAGGCACCTATGTGGCACCGTTTACTTAGTAAATGTAAAAAGGACCAAACACATACTGAGAGCTCGTTTGGCACATATGAGCTTCGAAATAAATTATAGATGTTTGATTACACTTTGAGGACTCCTGTATTCAGTTACGTGAACCTAGGGCTAATTCCAACAAGTGATTTATTAAGATAATGACAATTTTTTTTTTTTTCTTTTTTGATGGATAAACTATCATTCAAATTAACTAACATCAAACAAAATTGCATCTAAAACTGCTTAGAAGTCAAGTCGGAATAAACGACCAGACTTCCCTATTAGAATTAGAGTTTTGAAATATTGGGCTATTCTATGTGTGGCAAGTCTATACCATATTTTCATGTGAAGACTGCAACTTACATTCCAGATCGTGGAGCCAAAATATTTCCACGTAGGGTGTTCAACAAAGTATTTTTGTATGTCATGTACTTGCGATGATAGCAAGTATGTTAGATTTGGCATTAATTTGGGTAGTTTATTCCTATTCAAGTATCTTCATAGAAAGGTGTGTGTTTCTTGTATTATATAGTAGTTTTTGCTTTCTACGTTACGATACTATTCTGTATAAAGCATATATTAATTTGAAGAATGGCATGATAGAATTGCTGTTCAAACTGTCAATATCATTCATTCATCAGTTCAATTTAGTCGATTTGAATACATTTCCCTCAAAAACCCCGAAAAGATGAATGGATTGAACTAAGCTCTACTATAAAACCAAATACATTCCTTCTCATCATTTCATGAGGATCATCTAGAAAACCAAAAGCAAATGTTAAAACCAAAACTAAATTAGGCTTGTACTATAGCTTTTCGGCCACATTTGTGTATTTGAAGTAGAAACCTCTAGATGCCGAAGACTGCATTGACATCACACCCAACACAACAAGTACCTTGAGCAATTACAAAATAAAAGTGAAAACTTATTAGACCAAAGTTTTCAAAATTTTCATTTGCAAGCTGATTTGATCTATAACAATAGCACTTGAATTTAATTCAACGGATTAAATGCTCCATGCTTCTTTCATTAGTACTGCTAAATAAAAAGAAACACAAAGAGCAATCTCTAAAATCATTTGCAATGATCAATGAAGCAATATGTAAAAAGAAACACAAAGATATGCTAGAACAGACTTATTTAAGACTTGGTTGCATAGGCACTTTTTCATACTGGCAACAATGATCAATGAAGCTATTAAATAGAATACTATAACATCGTTTGCAATCAGTGATGTGCTCATGATTGATCTCCTTTAGGTTTTATTTCTTTCTAGGGTTAGACTAATCTCAAGGGGTAGACTCGATGTATAGATCATTGGCTTTCATTTGGTTCTAACAAACTTCCTGTGGATAATCTGAATTGCAAATTTGTTACCTAACAGTATTAGTATTATCTGCACTCACTACTTGGAGGACACGTCTATCACCACCCAATTATACTTGTATATGTTGCCAATTGAAGATGGCTAATTATCTACAATTTTCATTTTAGAGACTAATGATTAACACAATCATATGGGGTTGTCAAACAGAAGAAGAGATTGGATTTCACATTAAACTAATAATCCATGGAGGAGGAGATGAATAAATCAATATTGTACTTTCAATTGTGTGGATATATTCAGCCTGATTTCGTGAGGGACACTTCTATAGGTTAGGTTTAGACTGTCCAATGGATAATGAAGGGCAACATCGGAGACTTTATTTAAGTCCATATGATAATATTACGAGACCACTGTCTCATCAGTTAGGCTTGTTCCAATAATTTTAACACCATACGTTTCCACTTTCAAGTCATGAAAAAGTAGATATTATATTAGAGATTGGACTTATTAATGCTTGGTAATTTTAGTAAATTACTCACTCAAACACTGATTTAACATTTGTTTAGCTTCACTTAGAAACAATGGAATCTAGAGATCATAAGACTCTTGTTAGCTGAAAAAACAGTCTGTAAAAGTGAACCATCTACAAAAAAGAGAATTCAAAGATAACAATGAACCATTTCTACCAAGGTTCTAAGTATCCATACTGGTCGATACCTTGGTAGGGTGTACCGGCCAGTATCAACCCTTTTTTTTTTTTTAACTTTCCCTTATTTTTTTCGATTTTGGTTCAGACAGGCCGGTTTAACCAGGCCCTGACCCGATACAACCCCTGTAGGGGCGTATCGGGAAGGACCCGATACGATACATATCGACCGAAAGACAAACGAACAGTTAAGGGAAATGGTGGATTAAAATCTTTGGTGTTCCTCTTTCAGCTTGGTGCCCGTGCCCCACAATGTTCAAGGAGATCGGAGATGCCGTTGGAGGCTTCATCACTGTAGACTGGAGCAATGCGACGTGGAGAAACCTCAAAGCCCTCCGTCCGCTGGTCTGGAGCAGGGCAGTGAAAGATATTCCTATATCTTTAGAGCTGTTGCCTGTTGGTGGGGGGGCATTAGATACCTCCTGAGGATTGTAGTAGAAGATAATGAATCTCAGTTTCCGGGTTCCCAATCTAGTTATTCTCCGTCTATGTCCTCTGTGTCAGGTAAGACATTGGGTCGCGCTCCGAGAGTCCGAGGGATGGTGGCACTCTGTATTCTGGAGGTGGATTTTCCGTTCCTTGTGCCACCGGAAAGCGTCGTAGAAGAAAAAGGAAGAAAATCAAGGCGGAAGGTTTATTTGTTTGAAGGGTGATGCATTTCGGTTGTTCGGAAGGTGTGGTGGTGTATCTGTTACTTGACTTCAGTTTTGTTGGCCGGTAGGGGAATTGGCTGGCTTTTGCTTGTTTTCTGCCTATCGTCTACTTCTTTACACTTTTTATTTCTTACTCTACCCGGCCCCCCCCAAAAAAAAAGAAAGATAAAAAAACACTGCTAATTGTATACTTACGCTACCCGTCAATTTTGGACTAATTAAGGCGTAGACTAATTACTAACGAAATTCACATAAATTGACGAGTGGGAGGGTTTGCTTCTAGAATAGACGATGGATATGATATTGATTGCCAGTCAAAACTTGATGAGCCTGTCTTTTCAAAATTTGTTATGTAGCGAACGGGGGGGAGTGGCTTTTCCTAATTGAAAGGAGGGATAATTGGGGCTAATCTTTCAGGTCAAGCGGTTTCTATCAATTGATTCCTTGAATCACCCAAGGCAAGATCTATCTGCATTTCCATGATTTTGTCCTCTGACGAACAATTTCTGTGACTCTACCACTACTTGCATCTGAGTTGATCCAAACCACACCATTCATTTGTTGTCTATTTGTGAAAACAACTTATGAATAGTATATATGCATTTGTTCTGCGTGCATGCACCAAGGAACAGGAGAATGTTCTGGACTGAGGAAACTTCAAATTTGGTGGGCTAAATGATGCAACCATCTTGACTTTGTCATCTTATCAATCTCTTAAATGCGGTCCACTAAGGCTACGTGATTTTGATAGAGAATAAGAAATAAAAAAGAAAGTTGAGTAAAGTTGTTAAGGCTTACTTTGGAAGGATTATAAATGCAAATATGTGCAGTATAAAAACATTTAAAATAATACAAAATACAAGGTTTTGGACTCTATATATTTGTATTCGTACTCCTTCTCAACTGAGCCTAATGAATTTCACAAAGTATGATACGAACTTACAATCGACTTTCTATTCTTATTTCCTATCTAATTAAACATTGCTTAAACGAAGGGTGGGGGAATTTATGGATCTATTGTTTGCTGTATTAAATCTGAATTGGATTCAAATTTCGCACCTGATTCAGTTTTACATCCATTTATTTATAATTATATATATGATTTCCATGCTTGTCTTTCTTCTTGGTAGAAAAAAGAGATCTTATCTGATATTTGCACTCACTGGCACTGTAAATATTTTATCTTAAAAACTGATGCAAACTGATATAATCTTGTTTCCTACCTCAACTCAAAACAAATAACCCTCCTCCTACTTCCATTCTCTTCCATAAAAAGTGGGGACTATTTCATTTTACTAGGCAAATAAAATAAAATCCAAGTCTGAAGCAAAAGCAAATCAGAATTTTTTTCTCCAAGGCCCCAAACCCATAAATCCCCTAACCCAGGTGCAGGTGGGATTCTATCCCAAATCTACACTGTAAGTCTGCAACCAGCAGGAGACCTTGCCAACCGGCCGAATTGGCACCTTGCAAACAAAATCAGAATTACACTCAGCCTATTTAACTCCCCCAATACATTTGAGTTGGGCTTCGATCAGGGTAAAGCCCCATTCTAGCAGCCTTTATGCCTTACTTTGAGAATATCTCCGTACTCATGTAATTTATTTCATGGGGACGGGTTTGCCCTGACGGAAGCCGCTCTATGCCAGCGTAGTATCTAGCATGGTATTTTGACTACTCTAAATGGATTGGTGTTTGTATTCATTTTTTGGGGTCATTATTTATATTATTATAAAGTGGATATTTGTCTTTTTTGTGCAGGGCATGAAAGTTAAGTTCAATTATACAACCTCAACTTATATCTTTACCATTTAAACCTGATAGTTAAACTGAATCACTGCGTAAACTCACTAAAAAAATCAGAAACAATGAGGCAAATTACACAACCCACCTTGCTTTTCCTTCATCATCAAAAGGTGATCAGTGCACTTACACAGATTTATTAACGGCCAGTTGAGAGGAGGGAGTCTGAAGACAACGATGGTTGTGTGGATGCCAATTCTGTAGAAGAAGGCAATGTGGCAAAGTTGCTGAAGCCTTCATCGTGTCCAAATATTAGACCACTTGCACTCAAACCATGCAAAGATGAATCTGGGAGAGGGGCAGCCCCGACCAAAAACCGCATGACTTGTCTCATGGTAGGCCTAGAAGTCGGAATAGAGTGAGAGCAAAGCAGGCCAAGCTTTAACACTAGAATTATTTCCTCGGCTACATAGTCACTGCCCAGATTTGGATCTACTGTCTCAAGAATTGTCCCTCTACTCCAACATGAGAACACCCAGTCCACCAAAATTACGTCCTCTGCTGATGCTTGTGGATCTATTGGCCTTCTTCCACAAGCCACTTCAAGCAGAAAAGCCCCGAAACTGAACACATCTGTGCTCGGTGATGGTTTACTGGTCCTAGTAAGCTCTGGTGCAAGGTAACCTAGCGTCCCTACCACATGAGTAGTTTTGAAATCACTTCCATGACCGTACAGTCTTGCGAGCCCAAAATCTCCTAACCTTGCATTAAATTCACTATCTAATAAGCTGGACTTGACATCTCTGTGAACAACCACCTTCTCCCATCCTTCGTGCAGATAAAATAGCCCAGACGCTACCCCTTTGATGATTTGAAACCTTTGGCCCCAATTGAGTTTGGCCTTTGGTTGGTTGAAGAGTAACTTGTCTAGACTTCCATTGGGCATATAATCGTATACGAGTAAGATCTCTCCTCCTTTACGCCGGCAATAGCCCAAGAGTTGTACCAAGTTTCGTTGCTGCAGCCGACCCATGCAGACAATCTCAGCGACGAATTCTCTCGTTCCTTGTTTGGATTCATGAGAGACTCTCTTCACTGCAACTTCGATTTTGGAGGTGGGTAATACTCCTCTGTAGACCCTACCGAAACCTCCGATACCAAGAAGCTCTTTGTCCCTAAATCCCTTGGTGGCGGTGTAAAGATCTTTGTATTTGAATCTGTGAGGCCCATACTCTAGTTCCCAATCTTCAAGTTCTTCAGCGAACTTTCTCTTCCTTCTCACGATGAAAAGGATAACGGAGATGACTGTGGAAGCTAAAACCAGGCCTATAATGGGCATTCCCACCGTCAGAAATTTGGAATGCTCTTTGGGTCCTACTCGAGGTAGCTTCGGAAGTTGGGAGATGACGAGCTCTTTAGCTGGTCCATTCATCTTAAAGCTCCATCCCAACACGTAATGGAACGTAGGAACGGTGCCCGTCCCTGACGAGAAGCCAACGTACATGGAGTCTTTCATGATCGGTGAAAGATTATAACGCAAAGACAAGAGTGGGATATCTGGTTTAGGCACATTAATCGGAGCTAATGTGACATTAATTCGACCGTCCAAGCCATTATACTCGATCCATACTTGCATTGCTTTCCCACTCTTGAGGCTTATGTTCTTATGCCCACCACTTTGATCGGTGGCATAAGATGCTGGCTTGGAATCAACAGATGTTAAGTTGTTAATGTCGATGCCGACATGATTGTCATCGATATCAGAGAATTCTTTGCTATGGAAGGTGTCGAGCTCAACTGCGACAATATGGTTGGACGGATCACCGTTTGTGGACTCATTGAAGAGGCCTAGATATTGGGTCGGTCGAGCTCCCGGAAACCCTCTTGAAGGTGTGATCACGAAAGCAATTCCATGAGCGCTTAAATTTTGATACTCGGAGAGGATCCCGAATACGAAAGTGGAAGAGAAAGTGAAAACATTACCGTCGGATTGATTCTTGAACTGGAGAGGGCATGGATAGAAGGCATGACCCATTTGTCGACTAGATTCGTTGGTTAGCATCAGGAGGCCGTTGGGTGTGATTTGTGCGGAGCCGTCTAGGCTAAGATTAGCACCTCGGAAGTCATTATAGGTAAAATTAGCATCATCTGAGGCCGCCAACGTCATGACCAGAGAGAGAAATGGGCACAGAAGCAGCAGCAGCTTGACCTTGACAAACATGGTCGAGATCGTTCTTGTCCGCCGAGTCGATCGACAGCGTCTGCTCGTTTTATCTCCCATGTAAAAGTTAGTTTACTCTCTGATTTAAATTCAACCGAGGACTCCTCACGTACGTCATAACCAGTTTTCTCCCTTCTTCGATGGGTACCCAATACGTACACTGCGTCGTATAATATTTTTGAAATGTCAACCAAACCAAATCTACTTCAGCACAGTCCACACGCAGAGTCTGCAAGGGGCACAAATAGAGGAAGGGAAGTGAGAGGTCTGGAAGAAACAGTAATATTGATTCTTACAATTTCAAATTTCTTACCAATTTATAGTTTGGGTCATAGTCTAGATCTAAGTAACCTTTTCTTTTTTTGTGAGCAGTTGTAAGCCATTAATGGAGGCTACTAAACCTTTATTTCTATGCAAATTTATCCATGGTTCAAGCTCGCTCCAGCTAACATTCTTGTCCCAAAGATAATATATACTAATTATAATTAACTTTATATGGAGCAACAGTCCTTTTACCAGATCTTGGGCAGTGAATAAGGACAGTATAATGTCTCTGTTACTTCCTAGAAAGTTTACAGGTCCTTACACACCAAGCACGTTCATCAATGTCATTGGACAGAAGACTTGTAATTAATCTACGCCGTCACCTTTGACCACACAATTTTTAATATTGAGAGCCCTCCATCACCTCCAGTCATGTGATGAAAGCATCGATTCCCGCTTCACTTCTTAGACTAGCTAGATGCTTTGCATGGTAATGAAGAAAAAGTCTTTTTCAATTAATCTCGACCTTCCAAACCTAGACTTGAAAATTCTAGAGACATTGCCAATGGAGTTATTCTATGATGCGAAGATATAACGATATGATGGTTTGAAATTGAATCCAGTTTTGGTTGAGCCCATTAATAAATCATATGGAGTCGGGTTCTACGTAAGGTCCTATGAATGGGTTCAAATGTTCAATAGATATGAAATTCATAACAAATTTCAAAGTTGTGGGGTCTAAATAGCTTTATCAATGTTCTTTTTTCGGTAGATAGAACATCAATGTTCAAATTTAATACTCAATTTTTTTTTTTATGGTTTAGTTAAACGAAATTTCTTAACGGAACAATTTGGCTTTGTCCTCGTATAGAAGCCACCTCCGGTAAGAACCAATTTACTTTGACTTGGTTATTATGGCTACAAAGAACACTCGCACACTCGAAGGTCGAAATAGGGGACTTGACTTGTATTCCCACAAGGGCCTCTATACTGAATAACTGAAATCAATTCGCTCTTTCCATGGACACGAGAGAGAAATTTGAGACCAAGTCTCCTTTGGATGACTACGAAACTTTGGGTGGTAAATGGTTTGTGTTAGATCTCAAAACGCACCGAGGCACTCATCAATTGATCAGCAAGAATTAACGCATTTGGCCATGTTTGTTAAGCTTGCGGAGTTGTTTCCGCTTCTACTTTTGGTTGTGTCGTTTGCAGATTCAGAAAATTCTGCTTTCACCTACAATGACTTCCGAGGTGCTGACTTGAGCGTGGATGGTCTTGCACAGATAACACCTAGCGGCCTATTGATGTTAACCAACCGCTCTGCACAGCAGACAGGTCATGCCTTCTACCCCTACCCACTCCATTTCAAAAACCAATCGGACAGTGAAGACTTCTTTTTCTCTACCAGTTTCATATTCGGCATCGTCCCTCAGCGCGATTACTCAGATATAGGCGGCAATGGAATGGCTTTCGTGATCGCACCGTCAAGAGGTCTCCCGGGATCTCTATCTAGGCCTCTTCAACGATTCCAACAAAGGAAACTCGTCTAACCAAGTTGTTGCAGTTGAACTCGACACAATTGAGAACATTAAATTTGCTGATATCAATAATAACCATGTAGGTATTGACATTAACAACTTAACGTCTGTTGATTCCGCACCAGCATCTTATTTTACTAATAAAAATGGTACCGATAAGAACCTAACCCTCAAAAGTGGGAAAGCAATGCAACTCTGGATTGAATATGATGGTTTCAATACTCGAATTAATGTGACATTAGCTCCGATTAATGTGCCTAAACCAGATATCCCACTCTTATCCTTGGTTTATGATCTTTCTCTGATCATAGAAGACCAAATGTATTTTGGCTTCTCGGTGGCTGTGGCCTCCGTTCTCACATCTCATTGCGTGTTAGGATGGAGCTTTAAGATCAATGGTCCAGCCAACAAGCTTACTCTCTCTCAACTTCCTAAGCTTCCTCGTGAAGGACCCAAACAAAAATCTAAGTTTGTCACGTTTGGGTTGCCCATTATTGGCCTCGTTTTAATGTCCACCGTGATGGCCGGTATTCTGGGGATTGGGAACTGTAGTATGGGCCTCATAGGTTCAAATTCAAGGATCTCTATATCGCTACCAGAGGATTCAGTGAAAAGGAGCTTCTGGGTATGGGCGGTTCCAATTAGAATGTATAGAGGCATATTATCCTACCAGATTCAGAACTCCTAACCATTAATCCAGAACCAATCTGGACTCTGAGAAAGATAAGGATAAGGACTATAAATCAAGATCAAGATGATCCATCTTGTATTCTATCTAGTTTTTTATTGTTATCTTGTACATGTCATTGTATGATCCAAACTTTTTATTGAAACTTATAAATACCAATAGCTTCAGAGCTCCAACTCATTGAAGTTAATTCTCTCATATTTGTTTTTGTATTTCTTTAGTTCAAACTTGGCATAGAGCCGAGGGATTTCTCTCAAGGGAGCAATGGCAGCCGAACCCATGTGGATGCTAGTTCGAATATTTCAGAATCAACATCTTTGATTCCTTCTCTTCAGAACGTAATTCACTAATTCCCCATCAAGTTAGGCAGTGACAACTACCTACTATGGCGTGTGCAGTTCCTTCCTATACTCCGACATCATCACCATCTGATAGATCTTGTTGAAGGGAAAAAGCAACCTCTACCAGAGATGATACCCGATCCAGTAGGCAAATGGAGTATTTTGAGTCTAGAATATGTCAAATGGTATGATACTAATCAACTTGTTCTAAGTTGGTTAATTTCTTCTCTTATTGAGGGTGTCATGGCCTAAGTTGTGGAATTTTCGACTTCAGTAGAGGTATGGTGCTCTCTTGCTACTTCTTATTCAACCCATGCTAGATCTCGCATCCTCCAACTTAGGAAGCAGTTGCACAATTTAAAGAAGGGGTCTCTATCTATTTCTGCTTACATTCAAAAAGCAAAATCTATAGCAGACAGTTTGTCTATTGTTGTTGAACATGTTCATAAATCTGATTTGGTTTTATATATTCTAGTTGGGTTTGGAAATGAATATGAGTTTGTTGTTACTTTCATAACCAACAGGCCAGATGCGGATACTTTTGGTGTGCATGATATTATTGGCTCTCTTCTGAGCCATGAGAATTGGCTGGAAGAGCAAAGACTTACTTCGATAGATTCGAGTGTTTCATCAGTTGCTAATGTAGCTGGGGTAAAACCGAAAAAACAATACAGGGTTCCAAAATCAACAAAATAAATTCTTAGAATATGTACAGCCACAGAAAAGGTCAAGGGCGACGTCAACCACAAAATTTTTAGAATGTAATCCTCAACAAAATTACAACTAGAATCAATTCTTTAATGGTGGACGAGGTAAGGCACCTTCGGTTATTTGTCAGATCTACAACAAACTAGGACATGGTGAGCTCACTTGCAGGAAGGCGAAATACATTTTTGCAAATAATAGTGATCAAAGTTATGAACTTGCTGCTTACAATAGTCTCATTGCTCCTTCCTACAACGGTAATTCTTCATATGATCCAACATTGTATCTGGACTCTGGAACAACCCACTACATGACATTCGATGCTGATAACATCCAAAATCGGTTTGAATATCAGGGTTCAGATCAAGTTAGAGTGGGTAACGGCCAAGGTTTGCAAATAAAACATACTGGCTCTTCATCTCTTTTCTTTAATCAACATGCTTTCACTTTGACTAATATATGTCATGTTCTTGCAATTTGCAAAAATTTATTGTCCGTTAGCAAATTTACAAAGGACAGCGATATATTTTTTGAGTTTCATCGTGATTGTCGCTTTGTGAAGGACTATACGGGGAAAATCCTGCTTTGAGGAGTCAGTAGAGGAGGGTTGTACTGCTTCCCATCAACAGCAGCCATTTCACACAACTCGACAACAACACCTTTTGCTCTTGTTGGTGAACAGACAAACCTTCAGGGTTGGCATCAGCGTCTTGGTCATGCAACACTTCGTACAGTCCAGCAAGCCATCTCTCAGTATGGTTTACCATATTCTGGTCAAAATTCTAGTTTATTTGATTGTGAATCCTATCAAATGGGTAAGAGTTGTCAATTATCTTTACCTTTATCTTTGTCTAGGTCTCAGAGTCCATTGGAACTAATTTTTTCTGATGTGTGGGGTCCTTCCCCGGTTAAGTCTAATAAAGGGTATTCTTTCTTATTATGTGTTACTTCTTAATTATTATTCAAAATTTTCTTGGATATATCCCTTAGCACGAAATTAGATGTTTTTGAGGTCTTTTCAAAATTTAAGCAACATGTTGAATTGTTCTTCAACTCCAAAATTCGTGCTTTTCAATCTGATTGGGGAGGGGAGTAGTGCAAGCTCTCTTCTTATCTTGATTCATAGGGTATGTCCCATCGAGTGTCCTGTCAACACACACATGAGTAGAATGGTACAGTTGAGAGAAAACATTGCCACATTATTAAATCCACTCTTGCTCTACTAGCTACCTCCAACCTCCCCTTCTCCATCTGGGCCGATGCAGTTGAGATAGCCGTATACTTGATTAGTCGGCTTCCATCTCACGCTTTGTGAGGTTCATCTCCTTTTCAGATGTTTTAGAGGAACCATGACTACTCTATGCTACAGTGTTTTGGATGCGCCTATTATCCTCTTCTACGACCATACAATGCCCATAAGTTTCAGTACCGCTCTCTGCAGTGCATCTTTCTTGGCTACAGTCACTCTCATAAAGGGTACAAATGCCTTCACCCATTGACAGGTCAAGAATTTATTGCCTGCCATGTGGTCTTCGATGAAGGTCTATTTCTTGGAATTTCTCTAGCTCCATCACCCACCAGTACAGCTCAACAGGGGTTCTATCTACATGTACCTTCACATATTCCAGCATCTCAGGTATCTCCCTCTTCAGTTCATCCGCCTCTTGCAGCACCACTTCCAGTTCGGCTGAGAACTCTTCTCCCGTACAAGCTCCTGTCCACAAGCA